AATCTCATTATAGTGAAACAAACTCGTTCTAAGCTCTCTGCTTGCATCTGAGCATAGCATCTGTTATGTTGCTCCTTAAAATCACATATACCATTATAATTCTACAGATAAGCAACTTGAACTAAATTTCTTTGATAAACTTAAATATCTTGTTGCCGATTCCAAAATCGGATCACGTAGTGTATACCAGTGCGGTGTGATGTTTCCCTGTGGACGTTGAACCGTTAATTTATATAAAAAGTGAAGTGCAAATAAATATTTTTGTTCAGTAAAATGACACTAGAACACTTCAGGAGCGCGACGAAGTACCACAGAAATATTATCGTCAGCCAATCAAGTACATGGACGTTTAAATGTTCGTTTTGTAACTGGTACTTCTGACAGTGGCTTTAAACCAAAAAATACGGCTGTGATATCATATTAATATAAAAGAAATTAATTTACAACGCCTTCTATTATCCGGAAACATAACAAAACATCGCCATCTCTCAGTGTGGTTGTGAAAACTTTGAAAGTGCAACGGATATTTCGATCGCCATCTAGCGGTTTGCTCGTGGAACGTTAGCAAACTAGTAGTGCCATCTCTTGGTGGGCACCGTCAAACTGTCGAACATGGTTGAGGACACGACGCCGCAGCAGGAGCGGGTTTCCGCGGCTGCGGTGCTGCAGTTCGCTGCAAGAGAAGCGAGAGAGGGAAGGAGATTCACCGAGTTTGGAGCTCATGCTTTCGCCAGCATCACTTACAATGCTTACGGTACATTATTTAGTGACTTATGTCTTTCCTAAAATATGAAACAGTTTCTTATAAACGCACGATCATGGCAAACTGGGTTCGATCCCCATACCATAAGAAGCAAAAAGTCTGAAAAGGCGATCTTTACCCCAAATTTTATAAACGTTCATATTACGTTATTCGAACACCACGACATGAGAAAAATACTGGTAGAAAACACTCTAATATTTACTGCGCAGTAAAAGAGTCTAATTAATATTACACTGTATAATAGGAATACTAGAAATCTAGAGATAATATTGTAATCATTACACAGACACCCCTTATACTAATCAGAAATTAAAAAAGAAATTTTAATTGGACTGTAATTAAGTTTATAGATCCCAACTGTCGTCAATTTTGTCTTTCTTAAAACATTAATTTTGTTATATATGATTTTTTGGGCTCTTGATGGAAAATGATGCAATTACATTTGCTATGTCTTAACCGGTCAAAGAAAAAACATTGATATTTTTTTGTGGTCTGTTTATTGGTTTTCTTATTATATATTTTTTGCTGCCTGCGTTAATGATATGATGCAATATTTAGGAAGATATTACTGTACCGTATAAGATTAAAATATTATGATGTACTAATTAATTTATGGATATGGGAAACTGAATATTTGTGGGTCGTATGATGTCCTAATAATGAAAGGTCAGGTTTGGCGAATTTACGATTTTAAAATGTATATACGGTATGTGTATCGAAAAAAGAATTTCATAGGATAGCTGATTGGGTTTATTTTCTATCAAAATTGATGATCTGTTTATGGGATAAAGCTGTAAACGAGCTGGCGGATCACCTGATGATAAGCAATCGGCGTCACTCAGGGACATTCGGAACACCAGGTGTTACAAGTGCATTACCGGCCTTTTGATTAGGAATTTGAGGATTGTTGAAGATTCAGCGAAGGTAGAAACTAGAGAAAGGGGGAACATTTTTACGCCTCGTTTCTGTGAGGCCATCGTATTATTCCGGACGAATCAGCCCGTTTGTGCCGAAGCATGGCTCACTCACACTTAAAATCATGATCGCATCGAATCAAGCTATACCCTCTGAAATTAAAGTTAAAATTCAACAAAGTTTACCAACCAAAAATACTCTCAAATATACATTTAAAAGATATTTCTACATACCATACACACAAAAATCTTTAATTGATAGTAATTAACCTAAATTTTAAACGATTTTAATGTATTTTAACAAACAAATTAGTTAGTAACAACTCTGATTATGTCTTCTGGTACTTTTAGTGCCAGTTCGGTACTTATCTGAGGCTTACGTAATCGTCTCTCGGTACCAGTGCCTACAGAGATAGTGCCAGTTGGAATATTCCATTATTAAAGTACCAAATGAGATATAAAATTTTATGAGCTGACAAACAAAGATGATTTCTTGCGTCTTCAATTTAAAATTGCCAATGCGATAAATTTTATGTTTGTCATTGATAGTCACAACATTGCTAATTCTGTTGCAATTCCGATTTGAATTTATTTCGGCGTAGTTTATTTATTTATTTAAACTTTATACTCGTAAGTAAGGCGTAGTTGGTGCCTTTTTCAATAGACATTTTAGTACTAAAGAAACAACATGAACAAAATTGGTTATGTAGATGTTTTATTTTTATTTTTCATATCAAGTGTCCTTTGTCCATATATCTTTATTTGTCCATCTACCTAATAGGTATTCAATGCACCATGATTTCAGCAATTAGAATCGAACAGAGATTGATATGATCATTTGAAATTAGGATATTTTTCAAATACCGCATGCTCTTGACGTACACTTCTCCGTGGGACTATTTCTATACACACGAGAACCCAGGTTTAAGGGATTAATTTTGCAGAAAACATCCCTAAATCTTCCAGATTGTCACCATACTTTGTTTCCATAACTATAAGTGGCAAAAAGTGGATGTTACATTCACACCAACTACTGCTTTGGGAGCATTAAAAACATAGCCTCCTTAAAGTCTTTTAGATATCAATTTAATTATTATCAGTATTAACAGATGTTAAATAGTCTCATCTCGTGCTATACTAATAGCAACAGATTTTGCAACTTTGTCTATAAGAAAGTTATTTTGAAACCAGTATCCATAACAAACGGTTATATGCAGACATTTCTATGCAGACTAAAACAGATACAGGGAGTAGTTATAACTAGTTAATTACTCGGTCCGGTCAAAGTTTAACTGATTAGATAATATGAGTACTGAATTGTTTTACGTTTCTTTCAATCGTTTTATTGATAGTGGCGCTAGTGTCGTATTGGAGGTATTCAGTGTCTGTGTTATGTTGAGTTGATATCTGTATGAACATCTAGATAGAAGTCATCTGTAAGTTAATGTGTTTGTAGTTAGATATGTTACATCTCCTTTAATAGGTACGTGGTTTACGCATGTGGTAGAGGTTAAACCTACTTTCATTTGTGAGCGAGTTGGCGAGTTCATCACACATACCCTAGCTCGAATTCTGTAAGACAGCATCTACAGCAAAAATCTAGTTTAAAAGCACTAAAATAATGGAACTCGAGCGTCCCAGGGCCATGGTCCTACTGTTTCGGATCTCACCATGAAGTTAATTCATAGTTAAGGAGTTAGAAATATACAGTTTTAAAGTTACATCCGTTTTTAATTGAAGGCAGATAGTCTATTGACACAAAGACTACACATCTTTTTCTCAATCCATGGAGATTGGAAGCGATTGCTCCTTCTCTGTTACTATTCGAGGCCCAAAAAAATTGTTACAAACCGGATAACATGTATACTATACCTATCAACGATTGAGCAAACAAGCTAGCTGACTTATCTAAGGTCAAGAAGTTAACTAACAAACCAACTTATTCTGGTACGATACATCTTGCACGTTCCATTGTTTTTATTTCTGAGGTCGATAGTAATTTAGATTTTACCTATTAACTAGCTTTTACCCGCGGCTTCGCTCGCGTCACAAAAGGATAAAAAGTAGCCTATGTGACATATATCAATACACACAGCGCCATCTATACCAATACTTTTGTTTTTCCTCGGGAATATCAAATTTTTCCGGGTTAAAAAGTACCCTATTATTTAATCCGGACTTCTAACTTTACGTCTGCAAAAATTCAAAGCAATCGGTTTAGTAGATACGGCGTGAAAGTGGAACAAACAAACACACTCACTTTCCGATTTATAATATTAGTAAGGATTGATAGAAGTTAGTAATTTAGCATAGAAAAGAACCTTGTTTTATATTAGAAACACTATGAATCTAACAACGGGTGATAGGATCATGGCAGTTGTTCCATATTAAATACTAATAAATTACTGCCAATAGAAAACTGTTTATAGAACAGACAAATTCTCAGTCACCGGTGACCCCGTGGCGTTTAATGTGTTTAACAGAAGTTAGTAATTTAGCACTGAAAAAAAATACGATTTTTATATTAAAAACGCTAGTTATCCGACAACGGGTGTTATGGCAGTTGTTCCATATCAAATGCTAATAAAAATAAATCAAATAATTCTATAGAGTGATGAAATTGTCATGTAATAAGTATAAAGGGTACGATGGGGCTGACATATCTTTGCTAAAAGCCTCTAAAATGATTTAGATTAAAGAAACTAGGTAAGAATTAAGTTGATAGATTTTCTAATCTAGTTAGATGAAAAACCAGGAAAGAAGGAACTAATAACACTCCCTTGTTAGCATTAAGTACAGGCTTGTTTTTTTTTTTTTTTTAATATTACCTTTCTTATTCTCCACGGACTCTTGTCCGTGCCCTTGTCATTCCAAGTACAGGCTTGTTACAAACTTCACAAAAAATATGTTTCCACACCGCAACGTAGAAGAATTGAAGCATATATTAAATTAATAAGTTACATCTGGTATGTTTACAACGACCTAATTTCCTGATTAAGATTAATCGTCTTGTTCTAATTAAAATTATTATAATCACGAATAAAATTTTATTATTACTAAGTAGATATACTTTGCAAGAAAAGCAAACGGGACAATCTACTTAGAAGTATTACAATGATATTTAATTAAAGATACACGATGAATATCGAATACTTCTTAAATCAGAAGTGGCTCCATCTCTTGTCTAGGGACTGTAATTAAAACAGTCAATATAAAGTTTGCAGTAGATTGTCAATACTTTTATTTAAGTGTACTGTACAGTTTTTACAAATTCTAATCCTATATCTTTCATAATAAGTCATAATATGGTCTGTCTCTTTCAGCGTCAGCCTTGAGCGACATGGGTGGCAGCGGCACCAGCTCCTCGTCATCACACATGTCACCCGGCTGGCAGGTCAACGACCTCGATCTTGATTTGCCTGGTGAACTGTCTATGAAGTAAGTAAAAATAGAATTTAAAATTAACACAAAGATTTATATGCCTTTTCCTAAATAAAATGGAACCAGGTTGTCTTAAAGACGCAGAGGAATTCTTCCAAAGCAATAAATATCTGGGCACAGCTAAATGTATGCTTCGTTATTGACCATATTTAACATAGTCATCAAAAACGTAAAAAAAATAATGAACTCGAAAGTGGTACCTATTACCACCGGGATATTCAAATACAGCGCCATCTATTATCAATTCCCTCAAACATTCACCAATTAGTAATTTTCCTCACCGCAGCGAGGCGCTGCTGTCGCTGCCATCGTTGGCCGTGTTCAAACAAGAGGCGCCGTCTCCGACTGGCAACGTGCTATCTCCGCCACGTCGTGGCTGGCCGCCTCGAAGACCTGATGAGAGACAGGTATTGTAGTAAAAAATTAAATCTGGACTTGCATCTAGATTTATATTTTTCCAACACTAGTTAATTCCTTTATTGTGGCAATTGGGTACTTACCTTAATCAAAAATAAATTATTTCCACTGTTCATACAATAAAATATAGAAAAATAATCACACTTTCATTAATTTTTTTTTTTGACCAACTCAATTTTACTATTTTTCCAGCACATTTTTAAGAAATAAGTTTGCTGTTAAAGACGCTAAAAAAATTTACGTCACAATACACTATCTCGGACAAAATTCATAGAAAACTGTCGTTTCTGGCATTTCGAAAAAAGTATTGAATTTGACTAGTTGGCAAGTACCCAATTAATCCTTGTGTATATGACTATAATTAGTTAAATGTTTGACATACAGTCAATACATATTGACAATAAAAATTGTCTAATGAGATATCTAAAATGACTGTTACACTCACAACTTTAAAGGTTAATTAGTCCAAACGATAAAATTTAGTGTTGGAAAATATGTATGATCACACTTTAGTTGTATTTCCTATCTTTCTGCCGATTACACTTTTAGTATGTTTACAATCAATCCTGCCGAATTATTCTTCTAACTACTACTTTTATGTTCTAAGTATTTATTAAGTTAAATCTAATATAAGCTATTTTACATCACGCTACGACCATTAGGAATGTGAATAGACAAGGTACAAGTTAACTAACCTTTTTCAATTACTTACGTTATTAACTGACAAATACGTTTTCTTTTGTTAAGAAAATTATTATCCTATCATTTTAATTTCATTCGCAAAATGAAGATGGTGTTGATATCAAAAAATTTCAACTGCACGCAGTTTCAACTCTTGTAATACAATCAGCCATCGATGTTCTCATTGTACCAGTTAGCTGTGGTCTTATTACAGACCACTTACTTTGTAAAGCATGATTCTTAAGGCATGTGCTTTTGTCTTCTCTCATAACCATCCACTTTATGATGATCTAAAAATAATTAAGTCAATATATCTTTCATACAACATAAAAAGCAACATTTCTTACACAACAGTGTTCTCCATACATTTGATACATCATGGTTTTCTTTTTAATTCTCAGATCAATGCGGAATATACAGACTTACAACAGGGACGAGGGACTGACAGGGAAATGAAGAATATGTGGGAGGTGCTTATTATGATTGTCTTAAAGTTCATTTTCCTTTGCTTCTTTATCTATGTTTTAAAGATTGTGGCAAGTAATATCGGGATGTAGAGACATCCCGATATTACTTGCCACTTTACATGGAGATAGAAGGCTTAATGTAGTTGTCTCTTTCATTCGATTATTATGTTGCATTTTTTGTCAGTCTTTGTACGTGTTTGTAAGGGTGCAGACGTATTCAGTGTTGTCGTGGTTATATAAAAGGATAAAATGATGATAATACTAAAAGTAGAATATAATATGTATCTGAAAGATACTTTTACCGTACGTTTATACGTACCCCTTTAGGAAAATGTAGTTTAGAGCTCATTTTTCAAATAAGTAATTCTAACTCAATCAATTTCTAATGACACTGGAGCTCGCTATCATAAGCTGTATGCGCAGTAGTATTATATCTCACTGCTCACAAAATATGTCATAAAAACATCTCAGTCTTATTAGGTATTTAATAAAATTCCCTTTTTTGATCTAAATATAACATGAAGGATAACATCGTGAGGAAACCTGGGCTTATAATTTCTAATTATAAATTTGTAATCGCCAAGCCGTATTGAGCAAGCGTGGTGATTAATGCTCAAACCTTCTCCGTGTGAGAAGAGGCTTTGCTCAACAGTGGGCATTTTCACATTTGATGTGTGATATGTGATCTAAATATACAAACAGCCGCTAAATCTTTATAAGAAGTTATTTCCATTTCAATCTATGCGTATTCTATCCTTATTTAATCAGACATTAATCATCATCATGACCACTACATTTATACAGCGTTACAAGTAGGTTTTAATAGAAGCTTAAACACCATTTTTATTCAGCTTCTAGAATTTACATGTCAGTCTTGTTGAAATGAAACATTAACTTTTTTGTTGCACATATTTATCTAAATGTTTATTTTATAATAGTATAAATATTATGGTTCAAAGTCAAAACTCCTTAATTGGTTGTTTTCGTACAGTCAATGAAATTGTTTCGCGAAATCCATATACATTTGGTTAAAGGTTAATTATTGTTCCGATATTGAATTGTAAGGTGATAACGGGAACGATTTTTCAATGTAATAAGTACTGGTTGGATTCATAACTTTTCAAAATACCATTTTATGCCAACTATTATACTTTTTTGTTTTGCAAATGGATATTCTTAAATCTTCTTTTTTTTGTATACTTGCAATAGACTGAGAAGTTACTTGCTTGCTCTTTTCCATAGAAGTCTCCATAGGGGTTGGAATGAGTAAAATAAATAAAGTCCCGATTGCTCATCAGACGTACTTCATCGTCGGCCGCATCATCGCTTACCACTAGGCGAGATGGTGGTCAAATGTCATCCTATTAACAATGAAAAAGAAAACTAAATTAAAGGATTGATCGACAACAGACTTTTTGCTCGATAAGCTTAATCAATTATCTGAATTTGGTCTCCGGTTTGTAATGTCGTAGCGTGATATAAGACAGCTAGATAGCCAACGGTCGAGTAAAGGTTTATTTACGTTTTGGATTTAGGTTATTACTCAAGCAGGGCGAGTTCCTAAAGCTAAACTGTATAGGTACTACTAGGTGATTCAAACTTAAATTCTTCCTAAAATCAGTTTATACAACGAAATCTCTTTTCTTCTTAGTTCTATAGAAGCCATAATTTCTTGCTTCTCCCCCTACAGATCACAAGTATGGTCGTGGACAACAACCGCGACGCCATGGAGGAGGGAAGCTGTCAGCAGTCCCCCACTCACAACGGGAACATGATGGTGCAGCACGGTAGGTGGCGACATCTCTTATTGCTTACACAAAACTTTAAATAAGTAGTTCTGGAAATTGCCGGTAGATGGAGTTGGTGGAGTTGGTGATGTTTATGTTTTTTTAGACGTCATTAGAAGTGATGTGACGTTTGAAAATACATAAATAGTTTATAGTTTGTTCATGTTGAAGGCAAATGCCTTACTCTTCCTCTAAAAGAAGTCGCATTTTAGTTAAAAATTTAAAGATTTAATTATTATTTTATTAGATTATTAGATATCTATTATGTAGATGAGATTTATTAGATAAATATTCTGTCTGGCTTCAATCTGATCATATAAGATGTTACTCGAACAATTATGGCGTTTAAACTACAGTTTATAATCTTTCTCCCCCCACAGGCAGTCCAGAAAGCATGCAATGCCAGCCAACGATAGCAGCAGGCACTCTGATGCCTATGAACGGATACCATTCACCGAACGCACAGGAAAATAAGAGTAAGTCGGATTTTGGAGATTTCGTAGCATGTAGACAATAGAGCACATGGATCACCTGATATAGTGTGGTAGAGCCATGCTTCGGCACTGATGGGCCGGCTCGACCGGAGTGATACCACGGTCGAACAGAAAACCATACTGACACACAACGTTATATTTCGTCGTGTGAGTGAGGTTACCGGAGGCCCAACCCCCCCCCCCCCCCCCTCCATTATCCAATCGCTGAATCCTCAACAATCCTTGAATTCCTAATCCCCAAAAGGCCAGTAACACACTCTTTTAAATGGGACAAGCCCGCCACAACTACTAAAACCAGGTGTCTATTGGCGACGCCGATCAGGTGATCTGTCTACTCGTTTACCATGTCCCATTAAATAAGGATGGTCCTAGAATGGATGTAAAACATTCATACAGATAAACAAAATTGGTGTGTCTTTTTGTGATATTAAAATAACAGCTTTTTATGTTGTATAAAAAGCTGTTATTTTTGTGTAATTTATAATGCACCATAATAACATTTTTTACAATTTTTCACTGTCTGTCTGTTTGTACTGGTTAATCTCTTGTATGGCTGGACAGAATTTGCAAGACTTTTATTGGCAGGTAGCTGATATATTAAGGAGTCACATAGGCTACTTTTATTCTAAAAATTGAATTAAATATTATTATTCATATCCTACGTGGACGAAGACGCAGGCAACAGCTAGTAATGAATATTAATGAACAAACTCAATTGTCAACAGATGCAGGACTGTTAATGTGCTCGCCCGTGGGGTCCCTGGACGGGTTTCTGCACTCCCCCATACAGACGCGCTCCGAGCCCAGCTTCAAAGATGACACCAGGTAAATTGTAATTTATTTCAACTCTAAAAGTCCGCCATCGTATGTTATACAGAAGTGTAAAATCCTTACTAATATTATAAATCGGAAAGTGAGTTTGTTTGTTTGTTTGTTCCGCTTTCACGCCGTAACTACTAAACCGATTGCTTTGAATTTTTGAAGACGTAAAATTAGAAGTCCGGATTAAGTATTAAGGTACTTTTTATCCCGGAAAAATTTGATATTCCCGAGGGAAAACAAAAGTATTGTTATAGATGGCGCTGTGTATATCGTTATATGTCACATAGGCTACTTTTTATCCTTTTGTGACGTGAGCGAAGCCGCGGGTAAAAGCTAGTAAATAAATAAGTAAAGGGTATATTTTATCATGTCTAGTAAAATCACCATTAGCTTAACTGGCACCATAGAGCAACACGGAGGGGAGTAGCCATTGCGTTATAAACCGATACAAAACTGTCTGTCATTTTTTGCGGGGGGAAATCACACATTCTCAAATTCTCACACAAAAACATTCTATGTCACTACGAAACTCACACTATGACAATTGAAAAATACACTGACAATTTCACACACACATTTAAACAATCCCTGTCGTAATAGTGTAATAACATGACGCAACTACACTTACACCCGCAGTTGTAACAATTATCGATACGCATTATCGATAAATTCAAGAACTCCGTTAAGGAAATTAGCTTTAAAAATTTATTCAAAGACAGATATTATTATTGACTTTAATTATTATACCATTTTTTTACCTAATTAATTATTATACCCCTAACTACCTACTACTACAATAATCAGACAAGATAATAATAACAAATAAAATTTTCATTTTTTTAAATAAATTAAATTACATACTAATCCCATTTAAGAACCAGCGATGAAATACTGATACGGAACTATCACTGGTTTTTAAAATAGATTAATTTTCTTTAGATATGACGAATACATTTTTGGGGGTTTGTTTTTTCAATAAGTTAGAAATTATTGTATCAGTATATTTTTGCATTATTAATCTTGCTAATACATCTTGATTTGAGCAAATGGCAATATTTCTTGTGGGAATCCAGGTTGGTCTGTTATGACAAAATGTCTTACATATATCTCTTAAATTTGAATCTTTAGGAAATCTGCAATAAATAAATAAAATAATAATAATAATAAATATAGTTGAAGTTCTCACTCAGTATTTTTTATTTGAATCAGAAAACTTAATCCCAAAAAATCTCACATTTGACTTCACCTTTTACATTTTATCGATAACTATCTACAAACAAACCGGCAACAACGCTATCGCTCGGCGACAGCGAATTCTAGGAAAAAAACTCGGATCTGTCGCTCGACCGATCCGCGTTTTGTATGAGTACGCACGGATTTGTTGGTAAACAAATCCGAAACAAGACGATTGATAATATTGTAGTTTTTTTAAGTTTATAAGAAGTTAATAGCAATAATGTGATTAAAAATTACTTAATATGAAAGGTAACACCATGTTTTTGTAAATTTGACGTGGCAGATCTCTTTTTGCAGCAAAAAACAGAACAATTCGGCATTTTTACGACGCCGTCGATTCACTAACGCAACTAGATTTAGTCTGGTGAGCAGTTGAGTTGCAACTAGTTTTATTGTACGCATAGGACCATTTGGACTTATACTTTGACAGAGGGGAACGCCTGCGTATGGCTACTCCCCTCCGGTCCGCCGGTGGTCCGTGTTGCTCTATGACTGGCACATTACTGCTGTTAGACGACGAAAATCGCTTTTAGTTAGTAGTAGTTAGCTTAGTGTGTCTCACGATAGTCATCATCATCATAACATTTCGCCTTTAATCCCCGAAGGAATAGGCAGAGGTGTACATTATGTCACTGTACAATGTAACATCCACTTTTCACCATTGATGTTATGAGACCCATGTAATAGGGGGTGAACCTATTGCCATATACCGGGCACAATTCCAGACTCCGTGCTACTACTGAGATTTTTTTTTTAAATCCTTGTACTTTGCGCGACCCGAGCATCGTACCCGTTACACTCGCCCAACGAGGCAATCTGTAGTTCTGTGAAACTAAAACTATGTACACACAATAGAACTATCATAAAAAACATGAACTTTATACAATTAACTTTGAACTAAATCAAATAACCATTGTTCCATCAGATTCCAGTACGTGTTAGCGGCAGCGACATCTATAGCCACGAAACAGAACGAGGAGACGCTCACCTACCTCAACCAGGGACAGCCATATGAGATCAAGCTGAAGAAACTCGGAGATCTCTCGCATTATAAGGGGAAGATACTCAAGGTAAGGATCATCATCAACAGCCTATAATTGCCCACTGCTGAGCAAAGCCTCTTCTCACACGGAGAAGGTTTGAGCATTAATCATCACGCTTGCTCAATGTGGGTTGGCGATTTTAAACTCATAATAAGGTAGTTTCCCAAATTTTATTTTAATGTCCGTCTGGTAGATTATTTTTAGACATTAGACACGTATTTTTTCTTTTGACACAAAATTAAATGCTTTCGACGATATATTGATTTGAAATGTCGTGTGACGTCACAGCGTGCAACAAAATGTAACACGTTGTGACGTAACTACCTCCCACTTCTGAACTTAACGCCATTTTATATAAGTATTGTAACTTTATATGAGAAAATAAGTCGCGGAGAACCTAACGAGTAACCGGGGCTCCGGCTCGACGTGCAGGAGTAGGAACGGGGTGGTTTTTAGTCAGTAAGAGTCTGACACGCCCTTCCGCCTCACCCAGGTGGGAGCAGTCATTCGATGATTTTCCCCCCTTAAAAAAAATGAGACAAAATAAAAAAACATATGTGTCTAATATTTTTTCATTATCTAACTGACGGACTAATTACATTATTAATTTTCATGCACTGTCTACTATCCTATTGTTTTTCATCGACGGTCTATGTGCATGAGTCGTTCTGTGTAACTTATACACACAACCACACATCAATCTATTCAAAACCAGTTTATCCTGGTGTCGCGTCGCATCATCTTTCCGCACATTTAACGTTCAGTTTATACTGGCTATGTAAAGTTTTTTTTTGTTTTTTTTTTAAATAAACGTTGCCCCACACTAGGATTTTCTCCTGTGTCGTGGGTGCGTTTACAAACATACAAGTTCACATACACAATGACACCCAGACCCGAAACAACAATTTGTGGATCACACAAAGTGTTGTTCCGTGCGGGAATCGAACCCGCGACACGTTACACGGCAGCCGGTTGCCCAGCCACCGCACCAACCGTGCAGTCAAAGTCAAAGCTCGATGTGTAGCCGTGTGTCACCAAGACATTATGTTCCAGAGTGTGATCAAGATCTGCTTCCACGAGCGTCGTCTGCAGTACATGGAGAGGGAGCAGATAGCGCAGTGGCACAACGAGAGGCCCGGGGAGAGGATCGTTGAGGTACGATGCCCGATTAGTATAACTTCTATTTTAATGTCTGAGTTTAATGTGACTGCCTCGTTGGCCGAGTGGTCGCAAGTGCGGTCGCAAGTCTCGGGTTCGATTCCCGGGTCGGGCAAAGTATTACTAGGTTTAAAAAAATCTCAGTAGTAGCACGGAGTCTGGAATTGTGTCCGGTATATAGCAATACGCTCACCCCCTATTACATGGAAGGATTATCCCCGATTATCCCCGAAGGGTTAGGCAGAGGTGCACATTATACCACTGTACAATGTAACACCCACTTTTCACTATTTATGTTATGAGTCCCATGTAATAGGGGGTGAGCCTATTGCCATATACCGGCCACAATTCCAGACTCTGTGCTACTACTGAGATTTTTTTAAAACCCAGTAAACTTTGTCCGACTCGAGAATCGAACCCAAAACCCCTTGCCCGGCAGTCGCACTAGCGACCACTCGGCCAATGAGGCAGTCTAAGAAAGAAATTATTATAATGATAAGAAAATATTTGTTACAGGTGGACGTCCCCCTGTCATACGGCGTCATCCGCGTGGAACAGCCGGCCTGTCTCAATGCGTTACATGTCTACTGGGACCCTACCAAAGATGTCGGTGTTTATATCAAGGTAAATATATTTTTTAAACATTGTCCCACACTAGGTTTGTCTCCTGTGTCGTGAGTGTGATTACAAACATAAGTTCACATACACATGACTCCCGGACCCGAAACAAAGTGTCGTTGCGTGCGGGAATCGAACCCGCGACACGTTGCACGGCAGTCGGTTGCCCAGCCACCGCACCAACCGTGCAGTCGAGTTTTTATAAAAATATATTAAAATACTCGTCGTCAAGCCGTCATTATAGTATTTTCATTAAAAGTAAATCAGTTTTATTTTGTACGGAGCAACTCTTTGTATGATCCACAAATTGTTGTTTTGGGTCTGGGTGTCATATGTATGTGAACTTGTATATTTATAAACTCACCCACGATTCAAGAGAAAATCCTAGTGTGAAACGAAAAAAATTGGCAAAAGTAATATATGTATTGTGCCACCAGATGTCGCTACTAGTAACTAAAACTTTAAAACAAATACATATTATTATTTTGTTGTCAAATGAAGAGTACTATTCGTATGTAAGTAGTACGATTCGTAATGTAATGCACATAAAAAAATAATAAAACACAAAATAACATCACAAAGTGCTATCTCATACAAAATTTTCGTCTTTGTCGACATTTCGAGGTTTAAAATTATTGATTAAGAATTTTCAGTTGAGGAATACCATTCAGTTATTCTGCTTACCCAAAAAGACCTAAAATTTATGAACATTTATAACCTTTTTTCCTTCATACCCAGGTGAACTGCATATCAACAGAGTTTACAGCGAAGAAGCACGGCGGAGAGAAGGGCGTGCCCTTCCGTATCCAAGTGGAGACGTACCTTGCTACTGATGAACATACTCGACTGCATGCTGCTGCCTGTCAGATCAAGGTAGGGTCCAATTTATATGTCGCGGAGAACCTAAAGGGTTGCCGGGGCTCCGGCTCGACTTGCAGGAGAAGGAACGGGGTGGTTTTTAGTCAGTAAGAGTCTGACACTCCCTCCCGCCTCACCCAGGCGGGAGCAGTGATTCGATGATTTTCCCCCTAAAAAAAAGGGTCTTAAGTTTAAAAGACACTGGGTAAAATACGGCTTTGGCTACTTCTTTTTTTATAGCATAAGCTGTAAAAAGCAAAATAAAAAGCGAGCATACCGCTCACCTCATGGTAAACAATCGGCGCCGCCCATGGACACTCGAAACACCAAGCATTATCATAGACAATGCCGATTGCTTACCATCAGGTGATCCGTCTGTTCGTTTACCGGATCATTCCATAAAAAAAATTCGACCTAACAAAAATATGTTAATATACAGAGAACCTAAAGAATTTAATGAGGTTTGGTACAGTGTACCATGGCTGTGATAGCTTCAAAGTCAAAGCATTTATTTTAATTAAACCACAATTTGGTACTTTTGAAACGTCAACAAATACAAAATAAATAATAGTCTATCAGTCAGTCCGTCAGTGAAGCTAGGTGAAGCTAGGTGGCTTCCAAACAGAAGTAGTCACAGCTGTAGTGGACGTGCGTGCGTCGCCCATTCATATTTGCCCACTATCCTATATATTCTGAATCAGTCATACAGTCAATGTCAAAATAGTTAGCAATTAGTAATTAAATGAGAGTCAAAAAGTCAGAAGTCAATATTCTAAAGAAGTTAATAGCGATAACTCAGCAGTTAGAACTCTAATACTTTAGTCAATGGTTAAAATTCATAAGTGAACAGTCAAAAATATTTCAGTTTTTTTAACCACTTTACATGTTGTTATGTATTTGTTGCTAATAATTCTTATTCTTAATGAATTTGTCGACTTTTCTAACGACCCTCCCCGGAGTTACAACTGTTATATTTTGACAAAATCCAAGCGCACTATTGGTGCAAGTGCCTCGTTGGCCGAGTGGTCGCAAGTGCGACTACCGGGCAAAGGGTCTCGGGTTCGATTCCCAGGTCGGGCAAAGTATTACAGGGTTTTAAAAAAATTCTCAGTAGTAACACGGAGTCTGGAATTGTGCCCGATATATGGCAATAGGCTCATCTCCTATTACATGGGACTCATAACATAAATAGTGTGAAGTGGGTGTTACAATTGGTGCAAATCCAGCAAAAATTGCTGGACTCTATTATAAATGTAATTTTAATTATTATAATTTTGTCTGTAGGTGTTCAAACTGAAAGGCGCGGACAGGAAACACAAACAGGATCGTGAAAAAGTGATGCGCAGACCGCGCACTGACTTGGAGAAGTACCAGCCCGGGTGTGAAGCTACTGTCCTTACTACGGTGAGTGCTACATTTTGTTAAATGAAATAAATAATTCGATTTTTTCTGAGGGGGTGGTAACTTCTCTCGCCCGGGTGAGGTTAGAGGGAGTATCAGGCTCTTACTGACTAAAAACCACCCCGTTCCTACTCCTGCATTTCGAGCCGGAGCCCCGGCAACCCGTTAGACTTTCCGCAACTCCGTATCAGGCATCAGCCCTATTGTCCCCATCTGTAGTGGGCTAATATCTCTTTGGCTACACGCTCGAGGATATCCAGACCCTGACGATATGCGAAGCTGGTGTTGTTACTACTACTTTGTCGCGGAGAACCTAACGGGTAACCGGGGCTCCGGCTCGACGTGCAGGAGAAGGAACGGGGTGGTTTTTAGTCAGTAAGAGTCTGACACTCCCTCCCGCCTCACCCAGGCGGGAGCAGTCATTCGATGATTTTCCCCCCTTAAAAAAAAGTGTTGTTACTACAACACTGAAAATGAGGCCGTTCGCATGTTTACAAAATATAGGAAATAAGGGAAACCTATTATTAGCCTCAATCTCTGTAATTCACGTAAACTATATGTAACGCTGTTTGTTTTCTAAATAAATGAAAATAAAATAAAAATTATAAGTTCATGTTTTGTTGACAGCTGTCAAACGATGCATTAATGCCGCCGCCATCATTGGTCACAACATCGCCGCCATATTCCCCCGAGCTGTGGTAAGTATTTTACGTAAATATTATTTTCCCTTTATTCATTTTCATACTTGATTGAATATTTTTAAATTTTTGGTTATAAAAAACTGTTAACAATATATAAAGCAATAGCTAACCAGTCGCGGTAGTCAGGGCTCCAGAGAGAAGAATTTCCGGACAATACAATTATTAATCAAGAGACTCCAATCTACTGAATTTCATTATTGGGCTAATTGAAATACATTTTGAATACTTATGCCGGAATACTGAAACGCTACTTAATTTTAAGTCGTGCTTAAGTATAATTCTGTCTCTAAAAATTCTTTGTGATATGACAGAGATGGCACGATATTTAAGACTTTGACTGCCAATAAAAAACTGTTGAAGGTAAATCCTCCGCTAACGCCGGTCACCGGTGACCTCCATGGCGTTTAACGCGTTAAGCACGACTTAAAATTGAGTAACGTTTCAGTATTCGGGCATTACTCCCATGAATTATTCGAAAACAGCTCTAATAGTTTCAAGTCTACGCCTTGGAATGAGCAACTAGCTTCACTTCTAAATGTTTGTAGTTGACGTTCAAAAGTGCCTTCCAGTGGTCTAATTGAAATAAATGATTTTGACTTTTAACTTTGACTTAGAAAGAAAGAAATAAAACCACTTACTTATGTAAGCATAAAAAAATACACGGTAATTTGCGTGGCTAGACAAGTGACGTCGATAATTCGATTCACGCTAAAAACAACTCTATGTGTGTTTTTTCTGGGTCTGATTGAGATGTGTATACCAATTTGTATGTCGCGGAGAACCTAACGGGTTACCGGGGCTCCAGCTCAAAGTGCAGGAGTAGGAACGGGGTGGTTTTTAGTCAGTAAGCGTCTGACACTCCCTCCCGCCTCACCCAGGCGGGAGCAGTCAATAGGTGATTTTCCCCCTTAAAAAAATACCTATTTGTATGTTTTTTTTTTAACTTTGCCCCACACTAGGATTATTTCCTGTGTCGTGGGTGCGTTTACAAACATACAAGTTCACATAAACATGACACCCAGACCCGAAACAATAAATTGTGGATCACACAAAGTGTTGTTCCATGCGGGAATCGAACCCGCGACACGTTGCACGGCAGCCGGTTGCCCAGCCACCGCACCAACCGTGCAGTCAAATTTGTGAACGTATAACATACGTTTTTTTTTTCTTCAAGCAGTTTTACCCACTATTGCCATAAATGGCTAACAGCTAAGGTTGTACTATTTTAGCATGAAAGGCGATCAGTCGAATTTTGACGCTAAAGAAGCACTTAATATATATAAACATCATAATTATTGTAGAGCTATCGGTTTCTACTCACCCCCGTATGACAAAGCATGACGTCATGACAAGCGTGGAATTTAAATGATAGTCACACAGAATTTAGAGCAATAAATATTAATTGATGTCATGTGAGACAATTGATGGCAACACTATTGAATTGAATGAGTTAACCTGATGCGGGCAACACTTACTACATCTATTTTATCTGTGCTTTATTATTATTGTTATACAAGACCTGTTAGTTATTATGCAATTGATTACTCGAGAATGGTTACGCAGTTCCTGAATTTATCTCTCGAATAGCTATTTTTTTTTTTAATTCTTTATTTTTTATTTATAAATGTATTGGGGTTTTTATCCATTAAGGATATGCCAACCCCATCGTACCTTATTCTGAAGTGAACACATAACTTAAATTACAATTTCACAATAAGTACTTACATATATCTATGTAGGAGGTACTTTAATTACATTAATTGAACACATTAAGAATAGCTAAATGATAAATTAAAAATCGCGGGCTACTCACTTGAAAATACTGAGAAAAGCTCTACTAGTTTCGAACCACAGAGGGCTCTTCTTCATGAGCAGCGTGTGGGGTCGCGGCGATTTTTAGTTAATTTAGTACGTCTCATGATAGTTATTATTAAAACATAGCTAAATGATTCGAACCAGTTTAGGAAGTTAACATGTTCAAACAAACAAACTTATCACTTAATATCCTGTGACCCCTAGATGGGGCAGAGGGTTGAGCCGCGGAAGACTTAACGGGTTGCCGGGGCTCCGGCTCGAAGTGCAGGAGTAGGAACGGGGTAGTTTTAGTCAGTAAGAGTCTGACACTCCCTCCCGCCTCACCCGGGCGGGAGAAGTCATTGGATGATTTTCCGCCCTCAAAAAAAAAAAAAAAAAAGTTGGGGCAGAGGGCGTCCACTGAAGTTCTCCATCGCGAATTAGGTACTTGCTTGTCAAAATAGTTTTCTATACATAGAAAATTTGGAGTCGCGGAGAACCTAACCGGTTACTGGGGCTCGGCTCGAATCGCAGGAGAAGGTACGGGGTGGTTTTTAGTCAGTAAGAGTCTGACACTCCCTCTCGCTTCACCCAGGTGGGAGCAGTCATTCAATGATATTCCCCCCCTTAAAAAAAAGAAATAAACATACATAGAAAACTGTAGTTTTTGACAGTACGAAAAAAGTATCGAATTTGACTAGTTGGCAATATGTATTGTGTCTGTCCTTAATTTGTGAATTGTGCCCGGTGTATGGCATTAGGATATACATACATTGATAGAAGGTGATCGTATTACATGGGACTCATAACATAAATAGTGAAAAGTGGGTGTTACATTGTACAGTGGTATAATGTACACCTCTGCCTACCCCTTCGGGGATAAAAAGCCTTTATATATATACTTTTGTACCTTGTAATAATTGATAGTAAAAAGTACCTTGTTCGGATTGATTTCCTGGTCAGAAACTATACACGGATGAGACGCTATATTCTCTACAGTTTTCTGAAATAAACCAAGTAATAAAAATGGCTCCTCGCGATGATAAATGATCGTAAATGTGAAATAATTAAGTTTAATTTCAATTTAACACCTAGTCATGCGTATTACGTGTCTGTCAGACCAGTAGTAATTGGATTTTAACTAATTTATGAGTGATTCATACATACTTGTTGGTTGTTACATACAAAGGTTCTTTTGAATTTTAGAACAAAGTATGATAAATTAAGATCAATTTGAAACATTATCGCGTAATTTTATGTAAAAATATATACAATAGGAGCATTTATTAACATATTTGTTAACAATATTAACTGTTACTGCCTCCACGAACGAAAAAAAACAATACTTATAAAAAAATTAAGTTTGTAAACATAGATTAAAAACCGCGCTAATTTAGTGATGGGACATAACAAAAACCGGTAATAACAAAAAACCGAAAAAAACTATCGATAACGCAACTGCACTAGCGTTATATAAATAACTCTTTCCATTCCGTGTTCGTTGCACGTTAATTCAATGCTAAGCCCTATTAGGTATAATTAATGTCATTTTATCCAGCAATTGTTCCCTTGACGTCTTAACGACGTGTTTTAGTTCTAACAATTACTTAAGCGAAGAAACGTGCCTGTAGTTTTATGAACGTATTGTGTTGCAATTCCCTGTGTACGGCAAAGTAAGATGCACGTGTCACCACCTCAGCTCTTCCCGCGGGTGACATAAAAGCCGACTAACAGCCGTAATTAATAACCAATCTTAATTCAAAATGACTGGATCATTCGCAATTTATGGCACAGAAACTCTATACAAGTATGTAAAAACTAGAGAATTGTATTGTGAACCTGATTGGAAAAGAGTAACCTATGGGGTTTCTTGCTCGTTCTTCTCCATATTTTCACCTTGGAATGAGCAAATAGCTTCACTTTTAATTTTATTGTTGACGTTCAAAAGTGCCTTTCTGGTCTAATTGAAATAAATTATTTTGACTTTGACTTTGTAATATGAAAAATCAATTTGAGGGCTTAGTACGAGTTTGTTTTACGTTGAAACGAGTAAGCGTTCATCTCTGATTAACCGGCTCCCATGAACCAACCAATCAGAGCGCCGAAGACAGTCTCGTTTCGATTACTTTCAACGTAAAACAACCTCCTAATAAGGCATCTGAATCTAATGGTTTTGAGTCGCGATTCGTTATTGATTTCGGCCGAAAGGGATTGAATAATGTTGAACAGAGATAAGGCATCAGTGTTCTTTAATAAACCTGATGCTTGTCTTTGACCTGCCTGCGTACCAAACGTGAAGATCATGGCATTTCCCTATTTTTTTATAGGACGCCCATTGTCCAGCAGTGGACTCATATAGGCTGGTGATAGTGATGATGAATTTAATTAATTACTAGTCACTTCTGCGCGGTTTCACTCGCTCTCCTCTGGTCCTACCGTAGCGGGATGTTTTCTTGCCTATAGGCTCTGTTAGATAGTAGATTGAAGGTGGATTATAAAGGCTATATTATATAGGCTTCCTCGATAAATCCACTATCTAACAGAAAAATAATTGTTCAAATTGGACCAGTAGTTCCGAAGATTAGCGCGTTCAAACAAACATACTCTTCAGCGTTATAAAATAGTATAAGGTTAATTAATTACATAAAGTTCATATAGGTTTATTAATATAGCCTATTACAATTTAGGGGTAGAATACATTAGATTTGTCACAACCTCTTGTCTTGTCGCAGTTGTCATAAACCGATTAAGGGACTAAATTAGACAGAGATAGATCATAAGCGCTTTCTTGAGGTGCGGAGGGCTTAACGGTATGCCGGGGCTCCGGTTCGAAGTGCAGGAGTAGAAACGGGGTGGTTTTTAGTCAGTAAGAGTCTGACACTCCCTGCCATAATTGGCAAACCCCTCTTTTGTAGAGAATTCTGGGTTGTTGATATGGTGATGATAAATTAATTACTCGCGACCCAACGTGCATGTACGTTTATTAACGTAGCGTGTTGCAATTACAAGTCGTTTTATTGGATAATATTATGTTTGTGTTATGCAATGAATACTTGCAACCGGTTTGTGTTTATTATTTGGCTTGTTGTAGTTGTTGTAGACATTTTCCTGTTTCATATACAAACGATTTGATGTTTGTTTCCGAAGAAAATAGCAAATATTTCTTTTTGAAATTCAACAGCTTCGTTATTATTTTGTGTTTG